CACTCTAAGAGCCTGAGGAAATTATTATTTCCCATCGGCTCGACTGAGCTTAAGAGCGTCTTTCAGCGCTCACTGTTTTAGTTTTCCAGCCCACAATAGTTTTGGTTCAGTCTCAATTCGCTCTCACCTTCATCAGCATCATTTTTGGCTGTATGTTTTTAGTAAAACACTATCTGACCAACACCAAACAACAGACAGTCAAAATTAGTGACTAGCTAATGATCTGATGATTTTGATCAGGTGATCATAAACACAACACAACTCCAAATAAATGCTAATGTTGCTGGATGTGTAAAGCATTTTCCATAGTACTCCATAGTATTGTTGCAAGTTAGATTTGTTTGCTAATGACGGACTTTAAGCATCCACATTTCTTTGCATTTCAGCCCCTTACATTTGTACTCACTATTAAGTGCAAAGTTGGGGAAATTTTAGTTTTCAGGAAAATTTGAAAGACCTATTTATTTTAATATAAATGTAACAATATCCAGAGCCTAATCATTAAATATAAAGCAAAACAATGGGGTATTTCCTATGTATGACATAGTGGCTATCTGCTTCAATGTTTAGTATTACATGTGATTTGTCAATTAATGTGTTGGTGTTAAAAATAGAAAAGAAAACAAATACAAAGCATCTTTAACCTTTAGCATGCTTCTGAGGAGACATGCAGTGATGGTGTGCAAGACAGCTTATAATTCTTTGTTCCCTTCCGTGCTTAATAATGGTTACGTTTTTTCTTTTGCCATAAATATACATATATATGTCATAGGCTGAATTGTATCCCCGGCGGCATTAATTTCCTGAATTTATGAAGGTGAAATGCCATGTCCAGTTAGATGGGTCTTATATCATTAGCTTGTAATTGCAATAATTGGAATACAGTGACAGTATGCTCTCATGTCACATCTATCACTGACATGACAATACTCTCAGAAAAATCTAATCAAACAGCAGTGTAAAGTGAAGGACAAGCATGATCCAAATATACTTTGAGGACTCAATATTTAATGGCTCAAGTAAAATTCAATGACAAGAAAAATCATTTCACCATATGGAAGTTCATTTTTTTTCATAGATTTAAATGGAATATCTTACAAAGGCATGACAACACAGACTGTATAGCTTTAACTGACCAATACAGATTCGCTGGCAAGCATTGAAGCCTTCTATCAAAGCAAACTTGACCTGACTCACTGATGACTAATTTACAAGCATATACTTAAGTCTTATATCATATTTTGATATAGTTTTTTTGTACAAGATACATTTGTGTACATAAAATATTCTGGCAAGGTGCATGCCAGTATACACATATGTGCACACACGCACACACACACACATTCATACATGCAAGGAGACGCACACATTCCCCCTCACACACATACAACATCACCTATAAACACATTCAAACACACTCTCATCAATATTATGCATATGTATCCATTTACATTACAACAGAGATTGTCATCTCATCACTTCTTATGCTTTCCTTTTTTCCTTTTTTATCAACATAGTGAATTCCAGTATTTAACCTGTAGCTTTTAGTCTTCACTGTATGTGTCTTTCCAGTTTGTAACCATTATTACTGGTTCTTAGGGGTACTGCTATGTACAGTTTAAAATCCAGTTTACCTGACAGTATAGATATTTGTGTGTACGTGGAGGCATAAATGGTATGCACATTTCACAAAGTTTGAATGTGTACACTGTGTAACATTTACTTTGTTCCATAAGACAGACAAACAGGTAGAGCAGTAAACATCAATACTGACACTGAATGTGATGATGGATGCATGACCTACATAGGCAAGTGTCAAAATCGCCTCGTGGAAGTCCGAACAGTTCATGCAAAACATGACACAGGTTGGCAATGGTAATCATGACACACATTTGAATAGAAAAATTCAGAAAATTAAAAAAAAGCAAATTGTCAGTGTTGAGTATAGGGTTTTTACTATGTCTATCATCAGGGCAGAGGGAATTAGAAAACTATGAAAATAGCAGTGAGAGCAGAATCATGCAAAGTGATAACCTGTGATCACTCTTAACATTTTGTCTTTTTCACTCTGTGTTTTGTGAAAGATGAAAACCTTTGATACAGAACTTATTCAGAGCAGCCTTGTCCAAAAAAATATTTAAAAAAAAGCCCAAAACAAATGAACATTCATATGATATGCTCTTTGTTTTTTTAAGATGGATAATAATTAAAACACCACTACTTTTACCTCTAAAAGGGCATATGGTAAAACACAATGGTACTGCAGTAGATGAAAAATAACTTGTGTTAGTATCAAAAGCAACATCGTACAGATGTACATTCATGCAGTTATTATACTGTTCCCTCTAGATTTTCTCTTTCGATTATGCTGCTGCAACATTACAGTACGTATGGGTTATGTAGGCAGAGTAAGCTAAAACACAGTGTGAGTTACAGATACGTAATATTGTGCTTCCTGTACACATGTGATTGGGTAAATTATTTCAAACAATCACATTTTTGTTACAGTGTGACAGTGTATTATCCCTTACTTAGTCCATGGATATTCTCTCCCTCTGTGATATGAGGAAGGGCACAGTTTCCTTTGTCATATTTATAAATACTCCAACAGCAGATAATGTCTGTATTTCTCATTGTTAATGAATAGGGTGGGGGGGGTGGGGGTTCTTAAAAAGCTAACAATTATTTGTCAGTTTTAGTTTTGTTGAAAAGATCCAACCAGGAACGTATTTGCCCTACTTATTCACATGATTGTAAACAGAGACTGAAAAGATTTGTGAGGATTTTGACGCAACTTTTGGATCAAATATCACGAGTGCTGGATTTGCATTTGTCAGTGATAAAATTCCAATTTTCTGTGACATCATGATGTATGTTCCCTTTGATATGTGCTCCTTTTGATTAAATATGCATTGTTTATACCATTTGACGATACATGTCTGTCCTAAGAAATGAGATGAAAAGTGATGGAGAAAAAAAAAAAATTCTGAGTATTAGTAAATGAGCTGGAATTGGATTCCAAAACAGGGACATTTTCATCAACGAATGTTTGTAGGAGGATTTATTTAAGTTGCTTGTTTTGTATTAGATTCATTTTCGTAATTGACTCGGGTGAAATTGAATTGCCCCTTCCTGTGTCCTTGACACACTGTTCCTTTAAGTGATCATTTCACTGAGTCTCAGATATATCCTCTTTATAATGATAAGAGTCCTGACCCCAAGTATCTGAGAGAATAGGTGTGGTAGCTAAGAGCATGCAAACACAATTTGCTTTGCACCCTCCCTCAAGAATGCCACATTGCATTATAGATTTAGGCCTGTTCCCAATTTGCAAGATGGTACAACAAAATGAATCGCATGAATCATATACCTGATGATGTAGACACCTGGCTTGGATGTTACTGGAAAGAAAAATGGATATCAGCAAAGTCACTTATTGCTGTAGCAATAGATTATGCTGCACCCAATCTGTTACAGCAGAGTTAGTCTGAAGTACTTATCATCATCAGTAAAATTCACACACACAGGCAGTGATGCAGTGTGTGTATGATGAGACCATGGTGAGGGCCAGCCTGCAGGAAGGTCTTTTCAAATAGTGCCAATGCCTATTCTTATGATAACTGCAAAAATAACATTAACATCAATAATTCAGTTAGACTCGGGACCCTGAAGAAATTCATGCACCCTGGTCTATTATTCCGGTGTCAACACAGTAAAAACCGATAATACAGCCAAACAGAGCTGTATGAAAACACCAAATACTAATTAATAGCAAGAACATAGATGTTATTAATGATATGATGGGAAGAGAGGGAGCGTGTAAAGCTGCTTATTATGAGCACTTGTCACCTTTTCATTACCTCTACACATGCAAAGTACATGTTTCTGGTTAGCCAAGAGAGCCATTCCAGACCTTCTAACCACAATGAGGGTCGCCACTGAGATCACACATCAAAGTAATTAGACTGAGAATTTCATAATTGGCTCCATAGCTGTTATTATGTGAGAGTTTCTAAGCAGCAAAATGTGAGAAATAGAAACAAAGGAAAGGAAACAAAGAGTATGTCTCCGAAGCGCATCTGTCTGCGCTTTCCAAGGCTAAGCTACTGAGATAATGCTAGGAGTGAACATTGTCTTAATAGAGTTGGCAGAGATGGACCCACCACCATATTATGGAAAACATCCTGGGCACGTGTGCGTGTATGTGCAAGAGTTTGTGTTGCTTCCTCTGTTATATTTTGTGTACTGGTCCACGGTGAAAATGTAGAATGCAAAAGATTACCGGTGCTGTCTACCATTGGCCTAGTTATGTTTTGTAGACTTCTTTTTTTTTTTTATTATCCTTCTGCAGTCCCCTGACCAAAATAGACTTCTGAAACACGTTCAGGCAAGACAAAAGAAACATCTTCCACCACCAAAGGAGTTTGTGCTGCGTGTTATACAGAGCAATACTTCACTAGAACTTGAACAGAAACACCATCCACCCAGAGCTCATAATTAACATTTAGCCAAATTTAGCTCACTCCACACAAAGTACTGTATTTGCATTTGTTTCTGTGCAAGGAAATGGTCTTTTAGGGCACAGTTCCACTAAGCTGGGCCCAAGGAGCTTAAAGCGTACATTGCCCGTTCTTATCACTAAGCAAACATCACCAAACTGAAAGCAAAAATTATCTTTTTTTTTCTGTGATGGAACTACTTTGGTATAGAACTACCTTTTATTTATTCTACATGGGTCTGCTATGTTAAGACTTACATTTCCTTTAAAATGCTTAAGCTGTCAGACTGATCCCATATGATTTTGTCTGAACAACATCATCATGATCGAATCCATTCTCAGATGTCTTCATTAGTAAAACTGAGCTGGAGCTGGTCAAAGTTATTCAAATTATGCATACCTCCACTCGTACGCATACATACTAATCACAAGTCACTGACGAAAAGCCATCAGTGGATGGAGTCACATGTATGACAGGCCAATGAAGATCTGTCTTTTACTCTTACAACTGGTGCTCATGTAAGAAAGAGCTGCTGCCCACGCTGGTGGGCGTCTGCTGCATGGGAGAGGAAAAGCTCGCCAGAGGGATGACCTTGACGGGGTCCTCCTTCTTACTACCGCAGTGTCTATCCAGGGTGTTGTAGAACTGTGGTCGGTTGATCCCTTTGTCCAGTTCATCCTTTTTGGGCACAGACCTGCCCAGGGTATGGCGGCCATCCATGACCCCCATGCTGCCCATGTTAGCTTTGGCTCCTCGGGCACAGCTCTGCTGGAAGCCAAAGGTGGGGAGGGTACCGGTGATGGCGGTGGCGGTAGGGGTGGAGGTGGGGCTGTTGCTGCCAGGACTCTGGAACTGGGCCAGGGCTGGGGGCATCCAGCAGCTGTCGGAGTGGCCCAGTATCAGACACTCCTGGGTGCAGGTCTCAGAGGCCTCGGCCAAGGCTTTCTGCAGGTTCACCTCGATGGCTGAAAAAACGCAGAGAAAGAGAAAAAGAAAAAGAAGAAAACAACATAGTTAATCCATCAGGTCAGAACATACGGAGAGTGCAGCTGCAATGCGAGGATTTTACCAGAGTGTTGTAGAAAGCACTGAATGAACTCATGAATCATTATGTAAACAGAAGACAGTTGTCGTCTTATCAGTGGTTGACCCACAAAATGTCAGCCTTTTAGTGAAATGAAAGTCAGTGATAAATGTTTCATTTCATCTTGTAATGAGAAAAACACCAGCAGAGCATTTAATTTCCATTGGTATTCCCGTGACTCTGTCTGTTTACCTACAATATGCAATGAATTCCCTGTAGCTTAATTAGAGTTAGAAAAAAATGTCTTGCTGTTTGTGTCTCGGATTGGCTTTATCGTATTAAATATTTAATGAACATCTTAACAAAGCATTGTTTATTTTAATCACTGTCAATGTGGCACACCTTAAATCCTTTTGATCTTTCAGAATCCAAAATAAATCTGGTCAAATAAGAAAACTCAAATAGTGAGAACTAGAAAAAAAAAAGAAAAGAGATCACACTATGCCAGGATCCTGTGAGCATCTTTGGCATATTTAGGTATAATTAATATACACAGTTAATTGTGCCAGCATCTAGGTTTGCATGCATGGAACGGAAGAAGAAAAAAAAAAAAAGGAAAAGAAAACTGAATGAGGAGGCGACTGGGCAAGGCTAAACACTCAAACTATCTTATCTCATTATCCCGCCACTGACATCACATGTGGAATGAGTCTGGGATGAGGCCTCAGCATTGAGCCTCAGCAATAAAGGCTGTCAAGCCAGATAATTAGAATGTAAAACAGTATGCACCAAGGCAACCAGGAGCCCGCGGTGTTATGTTTCCTAGGCCATACAAAGGAAAGAGGGGTCCTCATTCAAACATCACATCGCTCCTCTAGGCCTCAGCTTCAAGCTGTCATGTAGAAATTATTTAGCATATTTGCATAAGTAAGAATGCTATAAATAATTAAGTGGTCTTAGACCCTAGTGCACTGGGACGACTATTTCCTTCATGCATACAAGTTCTGCATGCTCTGTGTAATTCTATTCCACAGACATCGGCAGATCTTCTTGCCACCTTGTTTATTGTTGTATGGCAAAATGAAAATGAATATTCTTATAACTCTACATTAGTGATACCAGTCCGGCCCCCCCAAAAACTAGAATCTAAGATTGGTGCATAACGGCCCAGTGCACTCACTTGTTTTTTTTTGTTTTTTTTTATTTCTATGCTACCGCAGATTGAATAGCATAGCGTCAACTTTAATTATGAGAGCAGTGTCTGAAAGTGAAACGCCTGATATAAATTGTGAGGATATATTTGGAGTGCCCACGTGGAGTCAAATCTGTCCTCTCCATATTGAACTGGAGCCTTGGAGCAGGAGTGTATAAATCCCCCGGGCGGTAAATGTGTCACCTTTCAGAGGGTCACTAACTTCATTAAGGCAAAAATGGATGCTGCTTTCTCATTCTCTGAGCTAGCACAAAAGGGCCAAGCCAAGTCTCGGCCGTGCCCTGACTCAATCTCTCTCTGAGTGTTTTCTGCTGGTGGTGATGTCTTTTCAGGGTATTGCCGTTTTTGATGAGGTAATGCTATTAGCATAAATGTCTTATTCCTCAAGCATGCACCAATAAATGCTTCTGGGTCTCGACTCGAACAGACACATTCCGACGTGCAGCTTTGCCAGACTTATTCCCTCCTCCTCAACTTTAAATGATCAGTTCAGTTGTACAGCTGTCTTTAACCTAGCGTATTTTACGACTGAAAGGTAGTCTGAGGCTCCGTGACTTCACACGGCTTGAACTCACAGCAGTTCTGTATCAACAGCCTTCAGTGCCTCCAAATTTTGTATGCAATATTTCACATCCAGCCTCTCCAAAAGACATGGGCCTGTACTATTTTCTATTCCAGTGGGATAGTTTGGAAAGGTGGTGGCGGGTTTGGGAGGGTGAAAGCACGGCGTGAGTGATGTCGCTGACAGCTCCGGCTGCTTTCGTCAGCTAGAGGTATGCCGCAGCCTGCTTGTGATGCCGCTGTCTTTTGTATTCAGGGGAAACAACTATACCCCGCAGAGCTTTCGGGAGGAATCACACATCACTGATGCTGTGAACATTCTTTTCTACGTTCCCTTCAAGGAAATTTGAATGGCAGACAAGTGGGGATAATGGCAAACAATGGGGCGTAATAGACAGCGCGACTGAGATCAGACCAACTGTTCTCATTTGAGATGATTCATCTTCACTGAGAAGTGGTGATGTGATTGAAACAAAACTGCAAGACCAGTTTAGTTGTTCTGTAGCGTTGTTCTGAACATCTAATAACAAGTTCAGCTCCAGTCACCCAATAAGACTGACTTCTGTTGACTCCAGTATTCTATTCATGTTCTGATTCAAAACAGCCTGCGGGTTAATTTGGCTGCTCTGTCGTAAGGTAATCTATTATCCGTGCTCTTGTTGTGTATTTCTTAGACAACCCGCTGTGCTACGGTTCTAGGTTTCTAGTCGACGTTATGGTCATACACAAGGTCAATACCGGCAGTAGCCTACAGCAGTCCTGTTCTGCAACATCAACACATCCTTTGGCCAGCCACTGATCGAACACCGCTGCATCCACCTTCAGCTGACCTTCCATTCATGCGGTCAAACATTACAGCTTGTATAAACATTGAACACATGTAAGAGGGAGGCATGAGAGTGCTGGATGGCATGAAAAGCATTCAAAACAAATGTTGTCTTGCACTAAATGAAAATACTGCAATTCCACTGAACACAAGGTGGGGTTGATGCAGTGCAGATGCTTCTCTGTAAAGCAAAATCTTTTAATTTAGAAATATAAAGTGGTCACACATGATAACATGAATGCCTGCAATATTTTCCAATCCAATTCAGTTCAGTATTCCCTAAAAAACTTTTTACGATATACAGAACTTTTTTTTTTTTTTTTTTTACGTTCAGTCTTTTAAGTATTTTCCGACTTTAGTATGTGAGTATCAGATAAACATCTTTCAATCCAATACAGTCCAGTACATCAACACAGGCTTGAGCCTAAAAGCTGGATAAAAGCCTTTCTGAGCCAGTCTTAAGATTAACTCCATCAAAAACTGCAAGTATATTGTATTGGATTGTGTTATAGTGTACAGTTGCTCAACTTATTTTCAAACGCATTTTGTAATATTCCAGTCAGCTGGTGAGCAGGTAATTCATCGATAATCATGTCTTTTTTTAAGAACAGCTTTTATACTCAACCATCACAGAAAACAAATTCATGTTCTAATTTCAAACAATCAGCCCCCCCATGCATGACGAGCAACTGTTTCTAGTACAATTTTCTATAACAGTGGTGAATGAGGGATTACACATTTTGTGTTTACACATTCTATTTTGCCTCTTTTATTATACTGGTACGCATTCAATCCAATCTCCCTTATTTTTTTCTCTGATGGCCATGAAATCCACTAATGCAAATACAGGTTCTGACAGGCAGAAACACACACACACACACACACACACACACACACACGCACACACGCACACAGACCCGCACACACACAGAGAGGATGCATAATAGCCAGCTGATCGGGGGTTTTCAGTACAACAGTATGAGATATTTAACATGACAGTTGATGATATTTACTGACAGAGCTAGTTACATCTTGATGAGCTTCACATTAAGGTCTGCACACATATCACGATTCAACTCATTATTTCAGCATGCATAAACTCATTATTGCTAATTAAAAGGATAATTGCATGCATCTAGGACATTAAATTCCTCGAACAGCCATCAGGAAGGTGGACGAGGCCCCTGACTCATCCTACACGGTTAATTGGTGCAGTCTTTTCAATTTTTTAGCCTGAAACCTACATGCATCAAACTCATGTATTGTCCAGTGAAAGCTTTATCATGCTGTGCCCACTGCCTCCATGTGAGCACGCATGATCATAGCAATATCTGAATTGTACTTGTTTGTTGTTTGTTATTTTTTTCTTTACATGGTGATCTACTGACTGACGGGTTATCTTGTTGTCTAAGGTTGTGATACATGGACTGTCACTATGCAACATAGTCGTTTTCTTCACTGCAAGACTTAGAAAGCTCAAACTTGTTTTTTTGTTTTCTAGTTCTTATTTTTTTTTTCTTTTTACACAACATTCTCAAAAGGTTCATACATAATCCAGAGCGTAACTATGCCGAGAAAATAAACCTTTCAGCAGTGCTCAGCCCCTCGCAGTGTCAGTTCGTCTCTGGGTTCAACAGGTTTAACGGTGCCAGAAAAATAAAAGTAAAATGCAAAGACGCTGTACGAGATGTTTAAAATGGAGACCTCGTCTGTCATCAGCCATCTTGGAGTACTGCAAGTACTGCGACAAGTGCAAAAATGTTATCATCTTCATATTATATGTTCTCGTGTGATAAGAGATGAGATGAGGTTGAGAGTGAGAGAAGAAGAGTCACAGAGGAGTGGTGAGTATATGTCTCTGTGTCTGGAGGGGAACCAAAAGACCGTAACACAGGAATACAGAGGATTCTTTCAAACAAATAGAATCTCAGTAGAAATAATTGGGTGTGTAATAACCAAGACTTTATCTCTTCGCTTGGCCTATACCCACTCCAAATGTACAATCTGGATAAGAAGATGAATGGTCATTAATAATAATAGCGCTATTAAAACCCCTTGGTTTTGCACTGAAAAGAGAGATGCCATTACTTTCATCACAGCTCTGGCAGTCGTCAATTGAAGGAGACACTAATGTCTCACTTTCACAGAATTAAAACTACGAGACAGCCCAGTGGAGGGCAGTCTCACTCCCAAGTCGTCACATATGCACGCTTCTTGTTTTAACGTACCGGGTAAAACTTTAGCGTCACTTTTCAGCGTGCAGGGTTGTGTGTTAGACTTCCAATGTTGATGCATGAGTCCAGCGGGCCGAAGCTCATTGTCTGCTGATCTACATGGGGCG